CAATCTTGCATCTGCGCCTGCTTCAGCACATGCATGCTTCGAAGCAAAAGCAACCTTTTCCTCCGCTCCATAAAGAGGCTGCCGCGAGTTGCAAATCACTGGAAAAATCCCAGGCAAAACTGCGAACGAGTCAATGTTAGAACGAGCCAGCTTACTACAGGGTGAAACAAGGAGACGCCAGGCTCTTTAAATCGACCGGAAAATTCGGTTTCTTAACCTATCGCACTACGACTTTGTGCAGCGTTACCAACAGATGGTGCATTTTTTTGTTTTTTTTTGTAAAATTTGCAAAAAGCGAACTTACCTGAGGAAAAAGTAAAGAAAGAAAAAGACCTAGCTCCTATGGAAACGCAGCGACGCCACCGGTCTGCAAACAACACGGCGCCGTTTCGCACGGGAGACAAGAGATGGCGCAAGCGGTCGCGACGCCAACTGCCGCCAGCGAACAAGCAGACGACGCAGATGCGGCCTTTTTGCAGACAAGGAACTGCAGTTCCTTGCTGTTACCGCGCCTGTCTTTTTTGTTTCCGCGACTGCCGCCGCCTGCGGAACGCCCGCCACTTTTGAGTCGAAAAGATCGCCTGCTAGAAAGGCCTGCTCTCGGCGCCGTATGCTCGATCGTTGGCGGCGTTTGTTGCGCCATCTCTTGTCTCCCGTGCGAAACGACACCGTGTTGTTTGCAGACCGGTGGCGTCGCTGCGTTTCTATAGGAGCTAAGCCTTTTTCTTTCTTTACTTTTTCCTCAGGTAAGTTCGCTCTTCGCAATTTTTTCAAAAAAGAAATGCAACATCTGTGGGCAACGCTGCACAAAGTCGTAGCGCGATAGGTTAAGAAACCGAATTTTGCGGTCGATTTGAAGAGCCTGGCGTTTCGTTGTTTTACCCTGTAGAATACTCAGTTGTGAAACTGCCGTAACAGCCTACAATAGAAAGTGACTCCGGTCAGTGCACGAGAACTAAACAAACGCGATCTCAACGCCGCCATTTCTCCCGCAGCTGCCGCTTGGAGAACTGAACGGCTGCACCCATCGTTGGCGACGCTAAAGTATAGCATTTGATACCGTCCGCTGTTACTGTTAACTGTCTGCTAGCGCCACCTGCACCGCCTTCTAAAATGGTGTAGGAAGGACAGCAGTGGATTCTTTGTGGGATATTAAATACCAATGGTGCTGTGAGCTGTCATCAAGTTCGGATGTCTTGTTCTCGCGCTCTGCCCTCGTAACAATTGGTGGCGAGGAAGAGAAGAAAAAAGAATGACAACGTTCGGCCGGATTGAAGCCTTCGGGGGGGGGGGGGGGGGGGGGGGGGGTTTGGCGGGGGCGACGAGTGGCCTGCCTACGGGGAACGACTTCATGAATTTTCCAACGCCAACGACGTCGCTGCTGCGAAAAATTATTCGAGTTTCTTGAGCTGCTGCGGCCAAAGGACGTACAACTTACTTCGTAACCCGGTGAAGCCCCTGACTCCGCAGGACAAGTCACTCACCGAGACTTTACTCGGGAAGCATCACGCTTTTACACCTTCAGCCGTAGTTCAGCGTTTCCAATTCAAGACCAGGGTACCTTCCGAAGCGGAATCTGTAGTAGCCAATAAGCGCCTAGGGCGTAGTGACGTCACTGTATGCCTTATCGATATGTAGTTATCGGCAAGCCAGCCGAGACAAGCAGAATAAACGTGTCAGCACGTACGACTGCTCGCCTGCCTGACTTAGTCATAACAAGTGGCGACGAAGATGGGACGACAAAACTCGACGCACAGGGGCGCTTCCTTCCACGGACGAAGCTTCAGCGATGGCAAAGATGTGGGAATTTGACGCCTTCCTGGAAGATGGGGACGAAGACTTCAATTCCTACGTGGAAAGGTTCGGGCACTACTACTGCCCGGTAGCCAAGGTGGAAGGCGAGGCACTTAAGCAGTCGGCGTTTATCACAGCCACCGGGAAAAAATCCTACAAGACGCTAAAAGAGCTTCCTCTACCTGCGAAACCGGAAGAGACGACGTACGCAGATTTCGTAAAGGTACTCAGCGACCACTACAAGCCGACAAGCCAGATCATAGCGGAACGCTTCAAGTTCAACCGCCGGTACCAGTTGGAAGGAGAGGCAGTCGCTAAGTTTGCGGTGGAGTTGAAGCACATGGCCACAAGGTGCGAGTTTGGAATATTTCTCGTCGACACACTGCGAGACCGTTTTGTCGTAGGGGTGCGGAGCCCGGCCATCCAAACTGGACTACTAAAAAAAAAAAAAAAAACTCACATTCCACTTGGCGTGTGGTTTTGCAAAGGGTGTCTAGCTGCCGAACGAGGATCGCGGGGGTTTCAGCCAACCTCAGCGTCGGACCCTCACATGCACGCTATGAAGAAAGCCAGCGGACGGCCAGCTTCGGTAAGTGAAACGTCAAGCGCACCTAAGAAGAAATGCACTCAATGTGGCGAAGACCATGACGCAGCTTCGTACGGTTTCCGGAGGGCAAAGTGCTATCCGTGCAAGCGGTTCGGGCACCTGGCGCGAGAATGCCGAGCAAAGCAATCGACGGATGGACTGTTCACAACCTGTGTGAGCAAGAAGACAACAATCCGGAACTGCAACTATACAACGTGTACCACATGAGTCCTGAAAATCGGCCATTTGAAGAGGGAAGTACGACTAGAAAAACAAGCGGTGAAGACGCAAGTCGATACCAGAGTGGCTGTCTCATTCATATAAAAAAAGAACTTGTTCAAGCAGCTCGTAAAACCTCCGCCACTCAGAAAATGCGCAGTGAGGCTCAGGGCGTACTGGAGAGCACCACTCCAAGTTCAGGCACAAGCGGAAGTCTCGGTGGAGTTCAACGGGAAGCGCAAGGTACTTCCGATCATCGTGGCAACCGAAAGCGACCCAGCGTTATTAGGAAGAGACTGAATTGACAGCCTTGGCGTCAACTTGACGAAAATCCAGAGAGTTCAGAAAGTGCAGTCAGAGCCCACACCGGAGAGCATCACGAAAATGTACGAGAGCGTGTTTTCTTCAGGTCTGGGGCTAATAAAAGGCCACCAAGCGATGCTCGTTCTAAAAGATGGATGTCTACCAGTGCTTTGCAAGGCATGGTCTGTGCCTTATGCCCTTCGTGAAGCGGTGGAACTTGAGTTAAAGAAGCTAGTAGCTGACGGCGTTTTGGTATCCGTCACGCAGAGCGACTGGGCCACACCATTGGTGGTTGTTCCTAAGCCAGACAACAAGGTCAGACTATGCGGGGATTATAAAGTGACAGTAAATCCATGCACAAAACTGATCACTACCCGCTCTCGACTCTCGATGACTTAATTACAGTACTAGCCGGAGGAATGTTCAACAATTTATGTGTTTTTGAATCAGCTAGAACTAATATGCTTGTGCTTGTTACCTGCTGTATTTTGATTATTGTTTTTTTGTAAAATAAGTTGCAAACCACTCCTACCATGGTGGGAAAACAGCTCAGAAAATACGGGCTAGGAAGAGAAAAAAACACGACAGGCTAATGCTGTGCTCGCAACTGAAGAATTTTAATAAAGGAAACAAAGACAGGATAAAACATATCTGAAACGATTGCACAAAAACAAAGGACGACTCTCGCCACCCGTGAAGCGTGTCAATAAACTACCCGTTTGCTATGTGACTCATTTTTTGCCGCAGGAAGGAAATCTCTTTGGATATAAAGCGCCAATGACGGTTTACTAAAAACTGTCATTTGTGCTATCAGCAAACAAGATTTCCTTCCTGCGGCAACAAATGAGTCACATAGTGAAAGGTAGTTTATTGACACGCTTCACGGGTGGCGAAAGTCGTCCATTGTTTTCATGCAATATTTTATGATACGTCTTTTCTATCTTTGTTTTCTTTATTAAAATTCTTCAGTTGCGAGTACAGCATTGTCCTGTCGTGTTTGTTGCTTTTCGTAGTCCGTGGTTTCTGAGCTGTTTTTCCCACCATGTATAACGTCAACCAACTGGCCCAGTTCACCACCTCATTACAGCCCAACCACGCCTCCTGAAATAAGGAGAGAGAGGAATCAATAACATGAAAAAATAAAAAAAAAATATAACTATCCAATAGTGTTTCTTGAACACTTTACAAATTCTATAGTATTTCCAGAACCTTAATTTGCGAGAAAAGCTATCACCAGTTTTTTTTTTTTTATGGACATTAATGACAAGGGGTAGTCTATGTTACCCTGGTATACAAATATTCTAATAAAATGCCAGGTTCACTGAAAAAAAAAAAAACTGGAACAAAACAGGCAATTTGTCCATCCTTACAGGTTACATTCAAGGAAACATTTATCGCGCATTTATGCTGCATTAAAATGTAATGATGTACAGTGCTAATCACGCTTGTCTATAACGCGCGAGCGTGCGGCTTTCTCCGAGGAGTGCTAAACTGGTGGCATTCGCGGAAACTAAGCCAGTCACGAGGCGGAACGTAGAACGGCCCGCTCGAAGGGTGTCCTGCCCACTCTATCAGCTGGCGGCGAACACGGAAGGCTGCTCGCAGCACGCTTCACGCTCGCTTCTGACCGCTTATCTGACCGTTTAGCACTTATGCGCTGTTATGAGCATATCAACAGTGTTCTTTTTTCCGCATGCGGTCTTTCTTTTTCCAATTCCCCAAGACGTGTTTCGCATCTGCACATACCATATCGTTATTTTGATGGCGACATCGTTCATACACCCTCAAGCTTTAGTTTGTTTATTGTTCGAGCAATGATATTTGCAAAAGCGTGCGAGCAGCCTTCCGCTTTCGCCGCCAGCTGATAGAGCGGCAGGACACCCCTCGAGCGGGCCGTTCCATGTTGCGCCAAGTGACTAGCTGAGTTTCCGCGAATGCCACCAGTCTGCCGCTCCCCAGAGAAAGCCGCACGCTCGCGCGTTATAGGCAAGTCTAATTAGCACTGTAGATTGCATATAGTTCACGTGCGAGAGCCCGTGCGTGTCTGCGTAAATTCATGTCAGAATTGCTTACATGATACTAAGACAAAAACGGTATCCAGCATTAAGGATTTTTGATAAACGAATGATGCCCTTAGATTGTTTTCATAATAACTTCTCTTGTTTACGTAATTAAATAAACCAGCACGCGCTTCACTGCGGAAAAAGTTCGTTGTTCTCGATATTACGACAAAAGAAAAAGACTTAGTGAAATACAATATAAAAAGCACACACTTGAACGTTCATCACTATGCACAAAACTGAACACGACATCAGTTCGTCGTGTTAATAACTATACATTTTTTCAACTGAAGATATGTTTTATGTTGAGTTTCAACTGAAGATATGTTTTATCTTGAGTTAGTGTTGAGTTAGCAAAACCTCGAACCATAGAGACAATCCGGTGTGATGTTGTAATAAAACTGCACGAATTAATCGATCTTCACAACTACCTTGCCGATACTTTTCCCGGAGTGAAGATACTCGACGCCTCGAATGCAGCCTTCAAGCCCCTTTAACTCGCCACCATCATCATTGATCCCAAAGTCCACCTTCGGAACAATCTTGCCAACTTGCAGCATATTGTTCAGCCTCGCCATATACTCCGGATACATATGATAGTAATGCGACATAAAAAATCCGCTCACACTGGCTGAACGAATCAGAAGCCTGGAGGGCAGATCTGTGAGGTCCACATCAGGGAAAGCATTGTCACTGCTCTGGTATCCCGTAATGGCGCCTACTACTACTAGTCTTCCCCTGATGCTCAAATGATTCAAGAGGACTTCGAACGTCTTGCCTCCGATGGTTTCCCAGACGACGTCTACCCCCTTCGGGTAGCTTTTATCCAGCTCCGCCCCTAGGTCGTGAGTCTTGTAATTGATGACTTTGTCGCAACCGATGCTTTTCAGGAACTCCTCCTTGTCTGGAGAAGAGCATGTGGCGATGACGTGGCATTTTGCTGCTTTAGCCCACTGCACGGCGATATGACCTAGCCCGCCTGCGGCGGCGGTGATCAAGACCGTTTCGCCCTCTTTTATTCTGCCTTGTTCGTCCAAGCCGATTGCAGCAGTCAGTCCACTTATAAGAAGAGGTATGCTGTCGGGCACTGCTTGCGGAATCGGAAGAACTTTTGACGCTGGAACACATTGGTACTCCGAGAAAGCTCCAAAACCAGGGAAGTTGATTGTTGCCACTGCACTACCGACGCTGAGGTATGTGACGTCATCGCCGACTGCAACCACTTCGGCCACGGACTCGACGCCGACGTTAAAAGGCGGTGTTGCTGCCCAGTACCTTGCCGCGGTGATGTTCACGTCCGAAGCGTTGATACCGACGTACTTGGTTTTCAGGAAGACTTCATCGCGTTCCAGTTTAGTTGTACGTTCCGTGACGACGGACACGGCTTCTCTGAAGTTGGGAGTTACTTTGACGCAAACCAGCTTTCTGTATTCCCTCGGGAGATTCATTGGGAGACTTGTTGCTTCTACCGCACTCTAACAAATCTCAGCGTTTGTTGGAAGCTGATATGTTGGTTTTGAGCAAAGAGCCAAAGAGCGCGTCAGCAGCTAATGATAACGGGAGCAGCTAGAGGCATAGCCAGAGATATGAGTTGAACGGCGGCTTGTGACAATTTCTCACAGTAGTGCAGCGATGGAAACTGTTGCATGCAGATTATAACCAATAGAGGGGCGCCACGTTAAAACCAACGTACAGCCATATATATGTTTTTTTTTTACATTTGCCCATAGAGCTTTTGGTATTACGCAATAGTTAAACTAGACATTATAAACAATACCCTTGGTCGGGAAATAAATCTGTCTAGCGAGCACACAATAAATTTAAAACGAGCCGTCGTTTTTTTTTTTGCTTTTCTTTCTAATATTTATCAATAAAAATTCTGAAAATTTTCTTTTTTTATCTGCTTCACTCGAAACGAATTCACGATCGCGTTTACATTGTCCGCGCTGGTAGCATCTTTTTTTTTTTTAATTTCTTCAGAATATTTTGCGTCGCTCGGAGGGCTTTACCGCAGGAGTACGATCTATTTGCATAACATTGTAGAAGTAAATAGAAATCTCTTTGCGCCCACACGTATGCAATTCATGAACTTTACAACCAGGGAAAGAGACAGTATATTCTGTCCCATTACACGTGAAAATAAAGAATTGTAACACGCTATAAAATTATCAAAATATTAAAGTCGTTCGTAGAATTGAAACAATATTACTGCGTGAAAGAATCCTATGAACACATTAAAAAAGGCTGACTATCAGTATTTTGTATGCATTTTAAAGTAATTTGTTACATTTTATTTTAATGGTATGCATTGTCTCATGTTATTTATTACACTGTGGCTACCATTACGTCTGGACGGAGCACTGAAACGCGTATACCTAACGCTCCCCCCCACTTTCCTCTTTCTCCCCCGTAAACCTAGAAAAGACGGAGATTTGGACGTAACTTGGTTTAAGTCGAACGTAACGCTAGACACTTCGTATTTTATTAACGCAAGTGTCTTCTCGTCCCTATTATGCTTACACGCAAGGTATAGCTTGCCTAATGCGATCATTGCGGTCACACGCTATAAAATTATTAAAGTATTCAAGTCGTTCATAGGACTGAAACAATATTACTGCGTGGAAGAATCCTATAAAAACATTAGAAAAAGGCTGATTACCAGTATCTTGTAGGCATTTTAAAGTATTTTTTACATCTTATTTTAATGATAGGCATTGTCTCATGTTATTTATTAACGCAATTGTCTTCTGGTCCCCCTTTACGGTTACCACCTTCCCTTATGCGAGCATTGCGGGCCACGCTCAATCTTCGAGAGAAACTTCGCGATTGCGTGACGAATGTGGTACAATTAATTAATGCAACTACATTATGAAACAAGAGAAACAGCGGAGTTATGAAACACCAGGCAGAAAATATATGTCGGGCGTCAGGAAGGTCATACATGTCTGTTGAACATAAATTTTCAATGGTGCACAGCTTTCTCGAGAAAAGGCAGAACTGGCAGGGTTAAGGAAGCTTTTTACTTGTGTTCCCGATGAATAAATAAAATAGGAATAGTATGTGGTATGATAATACTAGTGTGTGTGACAATCATCCGTTCGCAGGTCCAATTGTTTTAAATTGATAATTTGAAGAAATTCAGTACGCGATAAAATCTTTATTGAAAGAATTCGTACCTTCACGACCTTTCATTAACGACCTTCACAACTCTGGCCGCTATGCGTCATGACAATATAAATAAATTTCGTCGGTTCATACAAAGGTTTCTGTGTTTTAATATAAATCAGAGACAAACCCATAAATACCTGCTGGTAAATGTTTCGCAAATTCGGCGGAATACGAAGAGTGACGTAGAGTCCGATATCCGACTCTACCATACTCTCAACAGGCTGCCAAGTCATTCGTTCTTCTTAAATGTCTCTCCAGCATTGGAACACTGACAAGTTCGGTAATGGCGGACGTAATTTCAGGAAAACAGTTAATTGTTGCTGTGTTTGTGTGTTTTATAACGAGAGAAATAAATTAAGGGCTTAGTTTCGCTAGCTTCTATACAATGTCGAAGTTTGAATTCTGCCACCTAAAGTAAGGTGCCTAAAAACGCGTTGTCGACTGGTGCGATTAGCGTCCCTCTCGCCCATACATCGAAGACAGCCCCAAAGTGGCAACAGGTGCCCTCAGAGAACTCAAAGTGTCACGTTGTCGCATATCCCGATTCTTGGGGCTGGTGCTGGAGGTCCCGGAAAAAAAGTAGAAGCGAACACGAGTGTCGCTGTCGTCGCGGCGCCCCAGATTCTAACTGTCAATGTGTCTGTAAACGGTTAAGCGGGGAGCGAGCTGCGGCAGAATAGGCGTCTGGCCCATTCACGACCGCCGGTTTGACACCACCAGGACTATAGCGAACGACAACATCATGACACGTCTATTATATCATCAGATGTAAATCGTGAGACCGCTCTTTACGACGCGGGGATGACATGGTCTAAGGCGCGCCTAAGGAACCATACTTGAGTTTCCTGCAGAGAGAAGGGCGCAGTGTCATGTAGATGCAGCAATTTCGGGGAATTTAAGTTAACATTGTGTTCACACAATGAATGCTTTTTTTTTTTTCTTATACGCTTAAATGTGTCTTTACATATCTTTATAGTTCCTGAAATTGTAGCAATCACGAAACCAATTAATCTGATGAATTCTTAATTTATAAGAATTTGGAACTCAAGCGAAGCGGACCCTGAACAAACAAGATTAAAAAAAAAAATAGAACTGCGAGTAGCTATCTCCAGTTTTCACTCTAATGAGCTCCAGAATACTAAATACGAGTTATTGCATACAAACACACTTGGAATAAATGTTAAAAAAATATATAGATTGTGTCTTGCATTAGGGCATTTACTGAATATCACTGTTGTTAGTCAATGAGACAACTCGCAATATTATTAAAAACGCTTAATACTAGCCCGTACCTTGTGCTTCCGATGGTGTTTCTTTGTAAACAAAACAATTGTCCCCGAAGGAAGCAGACGGATTGCGCGCATGTCAGACTGCAGTGAGGCAACACATACAGCAACCCCCGATCTGTTGAGTAGCGTCCAAGTCCTGTGGCAGGCACTATGCACTGAAGAACATTTTCGACGGAACTATGTTTGGTTGGGGAAAGATTAGGTTTAGACGGAAGAGCTCCAACCAAAATACAGAAGAAACGGTTTAGCCCGACGTTTCAAAACCTGCTCGGTTTCTTCATCAGGGGTGACAAAATCGCGAGGAGTACCAGCTGTTTTTATCTTGTGCTCAGTTGTTTTCCACTCGAAGTTTCTTTGAGTTTAATACAGATGATTTCTTGTTTGTTGCCGTCGTTAGGTGGCGCAATCAATGGGCATACACCGTTGGCAAAGCACCCAGGGATCTGTTTATGTTTCCTGGTACGTGTTGGATGTCCCAAGACTCCGGGAAAAGCCTTTTTCGAAATTGTGACTCAGCTTCAATCACTTGAGCGTCCGCAAAGTCAATTGAATGGTCTTTAGCATCGCTGTGTTCCGCGACAGCGCTGCGCTCGAGGTCGAACTTGAGTACGTCGTTCTTATACTGTGTGATGCGCTGTGAAAAGTTTTTCGTTTCGCCGATGTAAATAGCGGGGCACTTGGCACATGGGATCTTGTAGGCAACTCGCTGTGCTCTTGTTTTTGGGAGGTGATCATTGGGTTGCGGCAAGAATCGTCCTAGTGTGGACACAGGCTTGTGGGACGCCTGGACGCATTCTTTCCTTAGCACTTGCGCCAGGGCTTCGCTGGTCCCGCCTATGGACGCTTTGCAGCAGCTGTGCATGGACGCCGCCATAACTGACCTTCAGTTTTTGTTTCCTATTATTTCGTTTATTTCACTTCCTCATTACCATAGCAGGCTGCAGGTTATTTCCACATTAGATTTAACTGTGTCCTTTTCTAAAGCATCGGCCTTTGTAGAGGATCGTCAACTACCGGTTCAGTTGCTCGGCATCTCGGTAAGACAAGAGAAGGTCAGCAATGGCGGCTGTAATTTGGCGCGTGCGTAAAGCGTCTATACAAAGGGGACGCTGATGCGCGTGATGGGCCGAGGGTGCGTGTGCTGTGATGTCTTTTTGTTTTGGCACGTGTGACCATTGCGACGGGTGATGCGCTCAACAAATCTGTTGCTGTAGCCATTGTTCTTCAGATGAGCAATGATGGTCTGCTTTTCTCTTCTTCTGTCGGTCCCTGATGAGCAGATTGTCATTGCTCAGGATAGAAGTGTGGAGACTAGGGATGCCCTGAACCACCCTAGGTTCGAATTCAAAAGGTTCGATATTTTCGAACCAAACTGATGTTCGATTTCGAAAAGTTTCGATATTTTCGACCGTAGGGAGGTTTGAATTCGAAAAATTCGTAACTTTCCAAAATCGTGGAGTTTCGAATTCGAAAAGGTCAAAGCTTTCACGGTTTCTAAAAGTTCGGGCTTGATTATTTCGAATATTTGTGTACTTTAGGTTTGATAAATCGAAGATTTCGAACTTTCCCAATTTGAAATTCGAGAGATTCGAATGTTTAGAATTTCCTTGGATCTAAAATTCGAAAACTTCGAACGTTTCGAATTTTTGAAAACGTGAGGTTCGATAAATTCGAAGATTTCGAATTTCTTTCTACATAAAGTTCGAAAAGGTCGAAGGTTTCGATTCTCTTTTAATGCTAAATTCGAAAAAAAAAAACTTCGAAGGTTTTCGATTTTTTTGAAGTCCAAGTGCGCAAAGTTCGAAGTCCGGTTTTCATGTTCCGCCACAGTTTCAGTTTCAAATAACGTTTTCAAGCCTCACTGGTTTTCACGAAATCAGGTTTAGAAAAGTTCGGGTGTGATATTTAGACTGCACGAAGTTGGTCAGGCAATTAAATGAGACGACGAGTGCCCCGGATGTGCTGGAATATTTGCCTTTGCAGTGACGTGTAACGTAACAACAGATCAGTAATTGTGATAGCCAGCCCGGGGTGGTCATTAACGTGCATTACGAAGTAGTGATCCTACGAACGCACTGTTTAACGATACTCATCCAGTTC